AAAACCTAAAGCCTTTTTATTTCCACGGAACGCGAGCAAATCCAGCTCCACACCGGCCTTCCATCCGCCGCCCCCCGACGATCTCCGGCAACCGCCGCCCGAAGGGAGGAGCGCAGCACCCGCCACCCCGCCCACAGCGCGGCCCTCCAAACCGCCCTCCGCCGCGCCCCCCGCCCACAGCACCGCCCCGGAGCAGGAAGCCGGGATGGCGTCCCATGACCCCGGCGTGGCACGGAAGGACTTACTGGGAAGGGACGGAGGTGAGGCGGTGCCGGGGAGCGAGTCGGGTGGCACGCGGCAGCGGCGGGAAGGCGCTCCGTGGGGCGGGGGGCAGGCGGCGGGAGGGGCCGCGGAGGCCGTCGAGGCGAGCGAGCGCGCCCGCGCACGGAGAGGGGTGGGGTCCGCGCGCTGCCCAGCGGACCTGTGCGCGCGCGCGCGCTCGCGCTCACGGACATGGCGCCGGTAGCGCCCCCTCAGCCGCCGCCTCGCCCCGCAGCCCGGCATTGCGGCGGGCAGGGCTCGGCCGTGCCTGGCGGAGCCCTTGGAGCCCAGCGGCCCTGCCCGGCCCTCGGAGCTGCCCGCGGCCCCGCCCCGAGGGCCGTCGTTTTTGCTCTTTTCTCGTTTACCTGTTGCAGTATGAGAGCGGCACTAGAGTTTCTTCGGTGCTTTTTTTTTTTCGTTTTTCCCAGTGGTAGAATGTCTAAACTACTGCTAACACGGATGCGATTTACTTTTTAGTCCAGCAGCTTAAGATATTTACAGTCAGAAGGAGCCTAACAAAGCTGGAACTGTCCGTGCAAATCTGAGAAACCCTGCGTGGCTTTTCAGAGCTGATAAAGTGAGAGCGCAGCTGGGCGTGCCTGATTTTGGCTGTGCTTTGTGCCTGACCTCAGGTAGCAAATGACTGTGTATAGCTTCGGATCAGCTTTTTACTTCATCCTTCACGTTGATCTTCTCACAGAAGGCTGAACTGAGGCAGTTTGTTACTCCTCTCCTGTCAGCTGCTGAAGTATCCCTGCAGGTTCTCCTCAGACGTTTGCCTCTGTTACTGGCAGCACGTGCATGTACAGGTCTGATGCTGTGTGCCCATCCTCTGTGAGGAAGTATGGTCCATTCAATCTCCTAAACAGTAGGAACTTGCTGAGGAGATGCGCAGGCTGAAGTATCTCCATTCTTTTAATAGATTTGCAGTTTTAAGTTACGCCACTTGTGACTCAGTTTAATGCATGCAAGTAAAGCCTCAGTATAGCACAGCCACTGAAATTACTCCTTGAAATAAAGAAGTGATGAATCCCTGTAGTGGTTACCCATCCATGTACTCCAGTTGCTGCTGTCTGGCATTTCTGAGTTGAAATGAGAGCCTTTAAGTTATGGTGCTATCATCTAGGCAGGATAATTGTTTGTGGTGCCCCTGCTTGACTCTGTGGAAGGTCCCACTTTCTTCTTTCTAAGTCCCGAGTTTTAAGATTGGGAAGACACTAATGACAGGGATTGTGGACGTTCTTGAGGTATTTTGCTCTTATATGTTTGTAGTAAGGAAATCATAATACTTCATTGAGTATGTAATGGTGAGTTTATAAAAAGCTGTGAATATCTAGCATCTTGTGAAAGTTTCAGTTAATGTTTTATTGCAGTGTATGGTGAGTTTGCATAAATAAAGGAAAATGTTTTTCCTGAGTAGGTTGATAAGTGAAATTCATTTTGGTTAATACAGAGGTTTGGTTGTTTTGCTTTTTTTTTGTTTTTTTTTTTTCCCTTCTATTATTGTAGAAGCATATTTCATTTCCTGAATAACAGCATCAGCAGAATTTAATATGTAGGGAGTACATGGAAGAAAGAAGGAAGAAAGTTATTCTGGTAGGAACAGTTAACGTTTAGGAGGAAACACTACTGCAGCAATGGAAAAACAGATGGACTGCAGACATCAAAAATAGGTTTATTTGTTTTATTGTCTGACCTGTTTGCAAAGAATTACAGAAAATTTTGCATGCCTAAGGATAAGGAAAATATATTATTAGCTCTATTTTAAAAGGCACTTTAATTTAATTTTTTGACAGATGGGATGAGAAGGGACAAGTGTCCTGCACTGCAAATGGCCTCCTGTTTGACATTTGTCATTTGCTAGCCTGGAATCATCTTTGATGGTGGAAGGCTGGCGAAGCTAAGGTTTGTACTAGAAAGTTTGACTTTATTTTTGTATTCTGTAACATAAAAGGATTGTGTTATAAGTTGTTTATGTTTGGGCATCCTAAAGCATGTTACTGAAGTTATGTTTCAGTTAAAAATTATGGGTTTCAATACTGGTTTGCTGGTCTTCTCAACGATAAGTATTTCTTTCCAGCGTGTATGATTATTTTGTTTTGTCTAGTATATTTTTTATTAGAGTATGTCTTTCATATTCATTGCAAAGATAACTTAAGAAATTAAGCAATTAAATGAATTTGATAAGGTTGTTGCTTAACAACCTAATGCGGTCTAAGCTGTATTCATAAATATAGCACTTATTACACATACATTACACTTACATTAATGCACTTATTAATTTTTTTTTCATTAATTACACCAGAAATTGTCCTATTCCTATCAAAGGAAGTGTGCATTATTAAATGTAATATTGTGGTAACCTAGTAAAGCAGAAGTTGCTTTTTACAATGCAGATTAGTTTAAATCAAGTCATGGTCTACAGCTGAAACTATGTAGTACATCCAAACAACTTGGACTGAAGGATGCACTAGAAGATGGGTTTGGGTTTGTTTATTTTTCTGTTATTTTAATTCTCAATTATTTCATTTTTTAATTAAAGATGTTTGACAGAATCAAACCATCTGATGAGGCTTCTGCTTCTTCAGCACAAGGTGAGACATTTAAAGGAGATGGTTTTTAGTGCAGTTTTTTTAACATAATAACCATCAGTATAGAGAATCAGTTCACCTAGTTTCAGTTGTTTCATTTGATTTCCTAAATTTCCATATGGAACTTAGATGGAAGATAAGTTATCCAAAGGTTTCTGTGCAAGCATGATTTTCTTTCCCTATGGTAAGCTGTTTAAGACATGCTGCATTTTAGCTCTCTGATTATGGATGGAATAGTCTTATGAACGTAGATTTCTTAATCTTGATCCCAGACAAATATGAAAAATACCTGCTCACTTCAACGATAAAAGAGTGAAGCTTATGTTATAAGCCTCAGAGAGGATCTTTGAGGATGAAATGATCTCTCTAAATGCTTATTTTAATGTTTAAACTTTCTTTAAAATACTGTTTTTGACAAATACAATGTAAGGGAACTAACTGAGTGCAGGTAAAAATAAAAACTTTTTTTTTTTTTTAATAGGAATGGAAAGACATGGTGTTGAAGGCTCACTGCAGCAGGACAGCAGTAGCAGGTAAGTAAGATGATAATCTAACTGACATCCAGTTTACTGCTTACACAAAGTATAACAAGAATAATCTGTTTTTCAACCTTATATGTCATCTTGTGTAATGGTTGATAGTGATGCAACATAGATAAGTGTATGATGGAGATCTTCTATGATATATATATTTACACATATTATAAACTGTGGAGGAAGGGCACTGCAGTGCCCAAAACCAATTATGCAGGTGTCAGAATTTCTTAGTTTTCAGTTTATTTGTTTCTCATTTCAGAAGGCTAAAAATACAACAATGAAAGAATGACTATCTTCTTCTGGACTGACAGATCTCTTCAGACTATATTTAACTCAAATTAAAATCTGTGCTAGTTGTGCCTTCAGCCTGTTATCTGTTGTTCTGCATTTAAGAAAAAGATTTTTGGGGAATAGTATTTGCCATTGTAATTCTGAAACAGAAGTGTTAATTTTGCAGTAGCAAGGTGGGTATTCTGAGTGTCTGTGTTAAGAATATAATTGACAAGTCAACATTTCTCATTTTCTTAATGAAATGTCTTGGTAATATTACCTGCTTCTTTCAGTTTACATTCAAGAAGGCAAGAACATCCTCGGCCTGGAGTATCCACCATGCAAAATAGACAAGGGTACTGTAACTGCTGTCATGTACACTACAGTAATCTGGAACAGGTAAGAAAGCTACTGCATAATTTGGCAGCAGATAACAAGAAGTGCCCATAGGCTTTGCCAATTTACAGAATATCATTTTCTGCAGTGAATGACCAACTCGGAATGGAAATAAATAAATTTGTGAGTTCTGCTACTTCTTTGTGCATACAAAGAAGAGGAAATCCTTCTTACCTGTTATAAAGAAGGTGGTAGTACAGCATGGTTACTGCAGTCTGCCTTTCTGAAGTGTTGCCCTACTGTGCTTTACACTCATTAGGTTTATTTCTGCAGCTTTAACCTTGAGAACGAGATATACTGTTAAACATTAGAGTTAATATGTTAGGTATCAAAGCTGAGCACTTTTGATCAACTAGTAACTTATTTGTTCTTAATCTGTTGGTTTCTTGTCTTCTAGACTTTTTTTTAACTAGAGAGTAAAAACCTATTTAATCTTCTGTGCTTATGAAAATTCTCCTTAGTTTGAGTAAATTATGAGCTGTTTGCTCAAATGAAGTTCAAAAATATTCTTAATCATCATGCATCATTGACAGTATTTGTTCCTGTCACAAGAGATTTGTGAGCAGCAGAGTGGCTGATTTAGGTTCACTTCAGAAGGGATTTCAACACATTTCAGTATTATTTGTGTCTCCCTTTGTGTATTTAAAAATCTCATTAAATCCCAGCCTTAAAGTAGAAAATGCTGAAGATTTTTCTTTTTGTTGAAACATTTTCATTGTGACAGTAATATTTCACCTGGGAAGTAATTCTTCTGAATAGATCAATATGCTAACAGTAATACTAAACTACTTGTATGTTTTGTCTTTCTCCAGCATATTTTTAGCTCCCAGCACAGACATTTTACCACTTACTGCAGGAATCGTATGGGTACCAGTAGCTTGATGGAGCGTTTCCTGCAAGATGTTTTGCAGCATCATCCCCACAGATACCATGACAACAGGTATAATAATGTTTGTTTGCTTTTTAAATATTTGCTCGTAGTCTGCATGTATTGTGAGCTTTTTTATACTGTTCTATCACCAAACATTTTGCCCATTTGAGGTTAAACGTTTATATTGAATGGAGTTTAGAAACGAATGTATTTAGATAACCATTGCCCAGGTGTACTCCTTTAGTGTTGTCTCTGTGCTTTCTAACTTTGTTTCACCGCTTATGAGTTTGATACAGCAGCACTGAAAACAACTACATGTAAAGACCTAACAAAAAGTGCTAATATATTGGTCAGATAGTATATTAGCAGAGTGTACAATTGACATACATTTACAAATTCTTACAAGAGAGGCATCCTGGGCTTAATATTAATCTATTTTGCAGTCTATTTTATGATATGTATTGAAGTGCTTCATAATTTTGGCTTGTGGAATGTCACAGTGGTTTGTGGATTATGTCAGGTGAGCGTTTATAAGTTTATTATGTTTATTTTTTCACTCTCCTTACAGTTTACACATTGAGTTACTATTTGTGGCAATTGCATTAAATGGCAGATTTGTTAATGCTCAGATTTCAAAAAGTGTTCCTTTTATTTATCACGTGCATGTTTTAGCATAAGAGGGAGTATAAACATCTTTCTGTAGGAGGGTCAGCTGAAAGGGAATTAGTTAAGTCTCATCCCTTGTTATATTCTGCAAGACATTAAAAACTCCTGGTCTGAATCCAGTGTATCTTGATAAATCACTTTTTCTTTCTCCAATATTCTTTCTATATTTCTAATAGAGAAAATATTGTCTGTGCTTTAAGCCCACATTCAAATGAAAAAAGGCCAATATCTCTTCAGGTATTGCTAGTACAAGGTTATTTCATTGAGTGAATAATACCTACTAATTAGGAAAACCAAGCTATCCATGTTCCTATAAGTTGCTGGAATAAGGAGCAGAATAAGAAAAATAATGCACAAAATCTAGGTAAGATCGGATGATCAGTGTGAGAGGAATAATCCAATGTATATACAGAGTTTGGAAGAAGAAAACTGAAGATGGAAAAGCGTGAATAGCTTTTTGTTGTGATTCTGCTCTGAAAAATGACTGAGTCAAAGTATTAGGTTTTTAACTAATGTCTAAAATAAGAATTGATTCACTGGGAGTGATAAACAATTTCCCTCAGTTACTGAATACCCAGACAAGTCATACAGTAACTGAAGTCACACAAAGGGTCTTAAGATTATCATTTAAAAGAATATTTGTGAAACTTGTTTTTGCAGAACCCGTACCTTCAGTAGTGGTGTGAAAGAAGAAAGCATGTTATCTGAACTTTACCTCTTTCTGAATTTCAGAGGAAATACTTTCCTCTTTATGAGATGGGTTGTTTTGTTGGCTTTTTTTTTTTTTTTTTTTTTTTTTTTGTTAAAGAAGTAATACAGAGCATTTAAGAAATCTTTACTCTGATTTTGGGAGTAATTTGTAGTAAAACTGCCAGAAGTACCTCACTTCAGAACTGAAGTTCTGTTCCCTCTTTAGGCATTTGCTTATAAATTATTTTTGAAAATCACACATGGTCTGCTAAGTGAATGAAGAACCTGGGAACTTGCTATAGTTGATCCATAACAAAATCCATTTATATTCAATCTTCTAGCAGCATCCAGAGAGTGTTTCACACAAAGATAGAAAAATAAAAGTGACAAAACTAAAAAAAAAAAAAAAATTAAAAATTTTTTTTTAAAAAAAAAAAGGGAAAAGAAAATTCTACTTATTTTGGCCTTCTGTTTAGATCTAATTGTGATTTATAAGATTTTGGAATTAAGCCACAAATGCTTTACCTAAGAACTTAGGTGCATGTCTCAGTAGGGCACAGCAGTTCAGCTGGCTGGCATAATTCAATCATCTGGTGTATTTGATTACATCACGTTCATATGATAATAATCTCCTTTTTAATGTGTTGCATGAGATTTCCTCTTGTGCTTAGTCAGTCCTAATAACCCTTATCTGTACTTTTATTCATTCTACTCCTTTTTTACTTTTTGTCAAAAATTCCACCGTATTCTATGTGATTATACACCTTTGAGAAAAAATGTTCTATTTTTGGAGTTAGGGAAGGAATATTACACATTGTGCCATAATTCATTTCCTTTTAAAGTAACACTTGCATTTCAAGCAATGAGGAGTCATGTACTGCTGTTGGTAAATTGATATGGCCAGTTAGGCTCAAGCAAAATGTGTAGCAAGTTTTATTCCTTGCTGTTTACCAAAATTTAACTCAACCTTCCCACTGCATTCCTTTATATTCAGAGGGTAATTGTAATAATTTCTGTCATTCATTACAAAAATGGCAAGTGAGTCATAGAACAGCCTGAACCAGAGGGTATCTGTTTCTGATCTTTTGTAATGGGGAAGAGTGATTGTTCAACCTATTTAATATTAGCAATCAGTTTTTGGTCTTAGATTGCTTTTTCTCCCCCCGAATAATTTGTTTATAAATTTGTTATAAATAAAAAAATTATTTGTTTATGTTTCCAACATACTCTCAGAGACTTTTATCACTGCCTATTGCATGGTTCAGAGATCAGTTGAAGACACAGTTCTTCCTTTTCAGAAACCATGAAGGTGGCAAGATCTTAGAATCTTCCAGCTATTTTATTCTACTGTGCTATTACTTCAGCTAATTGCTATGAAGTTTTTGCTTTACTACTTGCAACTACTTTGTGTAATTAAGCATCAACAGTGTGCTTGCTATATTCTTTAGTTCAAATCTCAAGTAGTGCCAGTTGATACATACATCACTCCATGAAGTAAAATACTCAGCAAATTATAGTATACTTTAGCATTTCTAAAGTATGCTTAGCACTATACTTTCTGAATAGTATACTTTAGCACTTATTATGTAGCCTGTGAGATCTTTGTTACGAGTTTTGGAGCTGTTAGCAGTTATTTTTTGGGGAGGCCACAGAGAATGTTTCATAATGATGTTTTAGAAAAACTGGGAAACAAACAAATGTAGAGATTGTCAGTTATCAGTAGGGGTGGGGAAAGGACCTTCTGATTTACCTTGCCTCTTTGCTCAAGTTGTGCTGTTCCCTGATAATTGCATAAATGAACTCTTCATAAGGATCTAGAAGACTGTGCATTGGTGAGTGATGGTTTAGTCAAGAAAAATCACATCAGGCTACCTTTGACAGCGTAACAGACCTTGTGAACTGAGAAAAATCATCAATCTTGATAACATCTGTCATGTCACATCTATCAAAGCCCAGATTTTGGGCTGTTCCTCTATGAGGCTTAATAAGCTAGCTAAGGAAAATGTGATTAGAGATTAAAAGGTGTTGAGTATGTATCTGGCTGGAAGCATTTATTCTTAATTACTTCTGGCTTACGGGAAAAGCATGAAAAAACTGGAAGGGATCCAACAAAATCTAATGTTGGGCCATTTTTGAGCTCCATCTTGGGCTTGAAATCGGTGATTTCAAGTGTAGATTATTGGTGTGTGTTTTTTAAGTTTCTTTTGCTTTGCTTTGTTTTTCTGTTCTGGTAGTAATTCACTGAAGTGCAGTTTTGTGTGTTGTTTTTTTTTTTCCTACGCTAAGTCTTGTCAAATCTGTAGAGACCAAATGAAACTTTGCTTTAAGTAAAAATGAAAATGTTTTTTGAAACAGCTAAACCTATTATTTTTTCTACCATAAAACAGATCTTCTAACCTGAGAATTCTTTTGTCTGTCATTTTTCAATAAAAGACTGAGACATAGCTACCCTCATAAGATCTCCTGTCGTTGTTTCTCAGTATCTAGTTAGATATCTGAAGTATCTACTTAGATACTTGGTATCATCTGGCTTTATTAATAACTTTATAAACTTGGACATAATTGGTACTTGTGAGTCCTTCAAGGACTTCTGCTCATGTTGACTACTAAATGCTTACAACCAAGGAAATTACTAGGGAGTGCAATTTATTCTCAGTACTTCCATTAGCAGATGAATGCGCCACAAAAGGTGCATGGCTGTCTGCCGTGTATTCAAACAGCATCTGTTTGGGTCTCACAAGGTCTGATTATAATTGTCAGGTGAAGTATCATATTCTCTTTTTAGCTGTATTTACTACATATAAAAACAATTGTCAACTGCTACACGCATTTAAACCTTCGGTGTTCTAGAGATGCTTAAAAGAAATAGTCTGTATCCCTCTGTTCTGTTAATTCTGCAAGATGTAAAACACTCTTATCCAAGGCAATCCTGAAGACAGAACTGTCAGTTCTAGAATATCTGAAAGTTTTCCGTTGCCACAGTAAGCCTGGACAATCATAATTTAGCTTCTTAGAGAAGATAGTTAGAGCTGTGGTATGTCTGTGAGAAGCAATGAACGTGGAATTCCTTGGTAATGTGTGCACTGTTCCTATCAGGCAGCTGTGCTTTGCAGCAGGAAGCAGGCATTTATAATCCATAGTATTTTTATACTATGCCATATTATAACGCCCCATTTCCTTACAAAAGCTCATTATTTAACAAATCATAGTTTTACCAAAGAAATGACTTGTTTTTGAGCTCCCAACTTCCAACAAAGGAAAACTCTGTATCTCTAGCTTTCTTCTACTTTCAAAGTTACTGTAATGTAAGTTTGGCCATTCTTAATGTTTAGTTGCATGAAGAGGGCTAACCAAGTAACTAAACTGGACTAAACTGTTGTCTTTAGCTTTGAGGAATGTTCTTTCACCCACGTTCTAGTGGAATGGTTTTGCTAAAGTAGCAAAGCTAGTGTCTTGAGTTTGTTCATTAGGTGCAATTACTTTAAAAAAAAAAAAAAAAAGTAAAAAAAAAATATATATATATATAAATCATATTTACAGTGTTTATATAGGATTTTCTTTTAACCCCTCTTAGGCCAACCTATGATGATATGCCACTCCCTGTCACTCCAGTGTCTGCCAGGATTGCTTCTTCAGGAGAGGTGGAGAAAAAGAAGAATAGAGGCAGACAGGTGACTTCCAGCAAAGACCAGGAGTCCATCGACAGCGTGTGCTCTTCTGCTCCATACCTATCTCATGAGCACACAAAGGAAACTTCTGTAACGCAGACATTTACTCAAAAGTTAGAAACTGAAAAGGAACGTGTTACAGCAACGTCCCGGGTGTCTATGGGCAATTGTAGCAATGAGAAATGCAATGTCCTCAAAGATGCTCAAATTGGAAATCATAGCCATGAAGGCCAGTTTACGGCTCTGAGCCCAGTACCTCAACATTTTTCTGTCAATACGTTAGTTCATAGTTCTTCTGTTAATCGTAAAATAGAAAAAAATATTAAGACTTCATCATCATCATCATCAAATCGTATTCTGCATAGTGGATGTGATAACACGGGAATGGGGGTGTGCACTAGGAATAAGTTGAAGCCTGCTCTGGCACTGGTTCACCCAAAATGCCCTTCAGTTTTGCATCAGAATCCTGTGTGCAGCCACAGGAATACTTCTCATGTTACCTCAGGTCAACCTCTTTTAAAACGAGATGGTTTACAAACTCAGGATGAAACTTTGGTGTCTGATTTCCGTCTCAGGGATACTGTGGGGATCAGCAGCGCCCTAGGTCTTGGGACTTCCCCACCACTAGCAAGATGCAAAAATGTGAAGATGAATAGAGGGGATGCAAGTTCAGTGGATGAAACAATTGAAAATGTTATTCTGAAATATTGCCATGGAACTGCATATGAAGAACTTCATTTCAAAGAGGAGAATAATCTCTGTTTAACTTCTTCATCACTTCTGGATCATGCTGATTTAGAGGGCTCTGAAATGAGTTTTGACTGTGATGCACCTATTCAGTCAGGAACGGACTTACCCAAGGCAGCTATAAAAGATATAGAATTGCTAAAAGAGGTCCAAATAAGTCTGCAAGATAAAGACTATGGAACACAGCTCTCTTCTGTTCTAAAAACTGAGTCAAAGCAAATAGAGACAGTGAAACAGAATGTCGTAGTTCATCCTGAAGAAGCAGTTCTTCCAGCTCTGCCTCATGTGCCTCCTTCTTTTGTGGGAAAGACTTGGTCTCAGATAATGTACGAAGATGATATCAAAATAGAAGAACTTGTGCGTGATTTCAGGGAAGGTCGTTTTCGCTGCTACTTTGACAGTGAATCCTCGGCCAACTGTACAGGAAAGAGAATGAAGAAAAAAAAGCAGAAAGATGAAAAAAGGAACAATACTGCTGAGGGTAATAGAACAGAAACTGCTTCAGTTAAAGCACTCCCAGAGTTTAATGATGCTTTAAGTGGCGGTTTTGATTTTGATAACCCATCTTTAGCTTCAGATAGGCTATGCAACCCACAAACTCTTAAAACGCCTAGGAAAAGGACATGGCGCCTAGCTTCAAGATGTCAGGTGGTGAAAGTCAGCCATGGCACCCAAACAAGTCTATTGAACTACCCTGTAACGAAAAGAAAAATGACAAGAAGAGAATCGGATCCATCTGATCAAAAAGCAAGCATTATATGGCCAGAAAATGAAAAGACTCCAAACATGAAAACTAGACTATGTGCCCTTAAGCTTCCTGAGTCCTATAGCAAGATTATGAGCCCTGTGCAGCCCAAGACAGTGGTGTATGTACTTTCATGTCCAGAGATGAAACAGTGTAAAGGTAAACCTGTAGATATTCCCAAAATGAGGAAAAATCGTAATTCTACAGATAGCAAGGACTCTATAAGGTATAAATACAAACAGTGTTCTTTCAAGTAT